TCTCCCTCTAGTTCTGTATGTACTACATTCTCCCTCTAGTTCTGTATGTACTACATTCTCCCTCTAGTTCTGTATGTACTACATTCTCCCTCTAGTTCTTTGTGTACTACATTCTCCCTCCAGTTCTGTATGTACTACATTCTCCCTCTAGTTATGTGTGTACTACATTCTCACTCTAGTTCTGTATGTACTACATTCTCCCTCTAGTTCTGTATGTACTACATTCTCCCTCTAGTTCTGTATGTACTACATTCTCCCTCTAGTTCTGTATGTACTACATTCTCCCTCTAGTTATGTATGTATTACATTATCCCTCTAGTTATGTGTGTATTACATTATCCCTCTAGTTATGTGTACTACATTCTCCCTCTAGTTCTGGTGTGGTTTTTTCATGAGAAGTACCTCACAACTACACTCATGGTGCAGTACGGAACCAATATTGTTATCAGTGCCCTAACTAGATGACAGTAATGTAACATAATAATACTCACTAATTTTTTGATAACATAATATAATGTTTAGGGACAACATGGGACCTATTGGTTCATCTCGGCTGTCACATTCTATAAACTAAACTATTATAAATGAAAATAAATCTTCAAGCCAGCCCTTATCATTCATATACTTATCAAGCTTTTCTTAAACTCACTTAAATTTACTGCCTCTACAATATATGAAGGCAACCCATTCCAGAAGCCAACCACCCTATTAGAAAAATGAAGCTGTCTTAGTTGAAGATGACTCCTACCTGCCAAAATTTACATTTGTGTCCCCTAGTCCTACTATTCTCACTGTTAAATATGGTAAAAGATGATACATCAACATTATCAATTCCCTTTACAATCTTAGACACCTCAATCAGATCCCCCTTACTCTTCTTTTTTCAAGAGAATACAATTTCAAAAATTTTAACCTCTCCTCATATGACAAACCCTCCATCCTAAGCACCATTCTAGTAACCCTCCTATGAACCCTTTCCAACAATTCAGTGTCTTTCATAAGATAAGGGGCCCAAGACTGAACACAATATTCCAAATGTGGCCTAACCAGTGACCTGTACAATGAAATCATGACCTCTTTAGACTTGTATTTGGTATTTCTATAGATACAACCTAAAATCCCATTTGCCCTACCACTAGCAACAGCACACTCTT